CTCATTGTATCCCTTCTCATCGGCGGCCTTGAGCTCAGCATCTTTGCTGGCCAAGGCATCCTGGAGTTCCTTTTGGGCCTCGGCCGTCTTTTCCTCGGCCTCTTTTTCTGGGCCTCAAGAACCTTCTTTATGGCATCAGTAGCCTTTGCCTTTTCCTCGGCCACGTCTTTGGCTTTGACAGCAACCTCGACCTGATCTGCCAGAGTCTTCATTTTGGATTGCAAGTTTTTGTTGGTCTTCTGCAGACTAGTAGCCTCTCTAGTCTTGTCAGCCAATGCCTTCCTTGTCTCAAAAGATTGCATTGAGAAGGAGTGGGCATGCTGGATTGCCTGAAGAAATAGACAAAACAAAAGTTATTAGAAAAATTTTCTAAGTATAAAGAAAGAAAGACACCAAGTGTGAAGACTTACTTGAACAGAGCGCTAGAGCATCAAAGCAAAGTTTTCATACTCGCTCATCTCGGCGTTTCAGTCGAGATCTCCCGGGAGGCACAAAGCGGTACTAAGAGCGACGCCGACATTAACGTCATCAGCACTATCGCCAGCTCTGACTGGCCTATCCTCCAGTGTAATTTGGGGGGGCCAAGGGGAACCAGACTTCATGGAGCCTGAAGCTGTTGCAGATTCGGACCTCGGCCTCTTTGACCGAGTGGATTCGGACGGTTGGGCCTCGGCGGGCCTCTTCTCGGCAACAGAAGGGGTTTTCTCGCTCAGAGCCAATTTGGAAATTGGAAAGGTGTCCTCAGTATCAATCTGAGTCACCGTTGCCTTTGGCTGAGCCTTCTTTATCCTTTTTTATTTCGGCTTTGGCTGGGTTGGTGCTGGTTGAGCATCAACTGAGTTAGGAATATTAGCCAAAAGATCCTTCGCGACTACTTTCTGGTGGCCCATCTCAGCAGCAAAGGCAGTTCGGCGTCATCGATGGCGTTAAGATGGTGGGATCAGATATAGAGCCGAGGTTGACGGCTGCTCTGCTAGATCGGAGGTCGACCCTTGATCTGGCCAAGATGTAAAGGCAACTTGAGGAGTTATGGCAGAAGGGGGAGATTGGCTTTTCTTCCTCTTTAGGACGTCGAAGAGAACTAATTTATAGGTTGGGATGAAATTAAGGACCGAAGGGGCTCTGCGCTTGTGCACTGGCAAATCCAAAAGCTTCTTCAAGTCTTTGCTGGGGAAGAAGGACTGACGAAAGCCCTTTGGTGGCTGAGGAAGAACTGCAAAGAGAATAGCACAGACATTAGAACAAAGTATTGAAGACTTTAAAAAATAAGTAAGTATAAACACTAGGCTCTTGCCATTACCTTCTACAAAAACTGTTCGAAGAAGAGGGTAAAGGTGGAAGTCCTCATCTGGAGCGAACTCTCAGTTCCCCGAGGTAATGAAGTAATCATCCTCAGCTCCCTTGTTGGAGTCTGGGAGGTCGGCCACGATTTTATACTCTGTGGACCTCGGCTTGAGGTAAATATAACCTTTCTCTTTCAGTGAAAGGCCACACATGGTATAACAGTATTTGATGTCGACTAAGGTAACCCTGGCATTCTCTTGTCGGGCAAAGGTTATTATACCATTGATGACTCGGTAGGAATTGATGACGAGCTGCATCGAGTTCAACTTATAGTAATGGAGGACTTCGCGAAATAGGATGTTGAGTGGGAGCCTAAGTCCGCACTCGATAAAGCTACAATAGAGAAGGGTGTAGAATCAGTTGTGGGCATGATAGAGTCATCCTCCCCAGCCAACCTCAGATGAACTTTGGCTGGGATGTAAAACTCTCACCTAAAGTGCTCTAACTTGGTTGGGGTGTCTACCCTATGCTTCCACATACCCATGATATCGGCTTAACTGAAGGAGATAGATTTAAGAAGGGAGTGTTTTATAGGGTTTTAGGGACCTCGGCTAAAGCCTAAAAATGCACAGAATCTATGGGGAATCGTTTCAGTTTTTCTTAAAAATTCAGGGGTTCTATAAATGGAGATTGAAGGCACGAATCTGAAAAGGAAACAAGAAAAAATAGAAAACAAGAATGTGTTTCAGAATCAAGAACAGTGGTGAACTATTAAGAACACTGTGACGGAGTGTGTGCAAGGGTACAAGGCCAAGAACAATGGCAACAGTGAACAAATTTGTGAAGCAATACGTGTATTCAGGACATGAATTGGGCAAAAGCAGAATCGTAATGTGCTCAAATACGTGATTTATGAATCAAAAACTTGAGCAGAACAGCAATAACAACAGATAATAAGAAAAAGTTTTCTCAGGAACTGAAACCAGGAGGAACAGTGGCTTACCAGACAAAGTGAAACCGGTGTGAGGATCGTCGAAGTCAGACAACGGTTGCAAAAGCGACAAAGTGGTGAAAAGCACGCCGGAAGAGATGAATATAGCAAGTTGCAGAGCTAGGAAAGCTTGAACAATGGCAGATCTTCGGAAAAAAACTAGAGAGAGAAAAAGCTTCAAAAACAATGGTGAAAAGTGAAAAGATGGAGGGAGGAAAGAAGTTTTGTTAAAACGCAAAAACGGCGGCAAAGAGGCCATTAATGTGCCTAAAAGAGCATATGCGTCAGACGGCGCATGCGAGAAAAATTCGACTTACAGGCGCGCAACAGGTACGATCTAGTAAGGGGTAGACGCGTGTCCTAAACGGTTGAGTTACTATGCATAACAGCTCATACGCGTGAAGGAGCTCTTGGAATACATGTCGGCCTGTAGAATGATCTCAACTGAGAAATTTGAACAACCCTGATTAGTGATTCTAAAGCATTGATAAAGAGCAAACTATAGGTCTTGGTCAAACTGAGTCAACGAGTTTTTACTTCGGCAGTGAATAAAGAAGCGAGCTTAGCCGACGTTCTGAAAGGTAGAACTGGTATAGGTTCTATCACCTCAGGATGCCGAGGTAATAGAACCTAGGGGCAGTTGTGGGGATATATTTTCTTAGTACCAACACGTGGCCAAGGTGACGCCGACGTGTCAGCCAAGGTGCCACATGTCCTGGTCATGACGCCGAGGTGATCTCGGCTAGGCCGAGGTTATCTCCGAAGATATCGGAATCTGAAATAAGCGGATAAGGGACAAGAGTCTTAGAATGAAGAGGGATCTCAACTTAGATAAGGATAAAGCTCTTAGAGAGTTTATCTTTATCCGTTGGAGAGTCCAAGATGAGCATTGAGCTAAAAGTCCATAGAAACTAGGCTTCTATTGGGACTAGGATTGAGTTAACTATAAAAGAGAGGCACCCCCATGGGTCTAAGGTACGCAATTTATATTATGAATAGTGAGTTAAGCTCTTGGTTTATCTTTGAGGGATAACTGACTTGATCGTTGAAGTATCCCCGGGTGGATGAACCACCGCCGGAATCTCTTCTTTCTATTGCAGATCAATCAGGTGCCATCTATTCTGTCAGTGCTCTCCAGCTGAATACTGAGTTGGCAGTGTGATCAGAAATTCACTCACACACTAACCCGTTTTGTCTCTTGGCAACTCGGGTGCGTTCTGTTTGAGCGCAGCCGAGCTTCCTTTGCAAGATTAGTTGGGACTTCGGTGGTAACGAGAAATAACTATAGTTGTTGGACATGTTATTTGGATTTCTTTTGTTTTCTGGAGTTTAGAGTTTAGGGATTGATGTTAGTTTATGTATTTATTATTTTTGTTATGACCTTAGTATTTTGACAATTTGGCATTGTGAGTTATTTTTCAACTTTACATTATTTAAGTTATTTTGACTAGTTGTTGCTACTTTAATGTTGGAGGTATTGGATAGTTATGAATTTATGATAGATAGTTTGGTTGGAATATTGACTGAATATTTAATTGTCCAAATTTTAGATTTGGATGATGAAATATTGACTGAATATTTAATTATCTAAATTTTGGGCATGACAGTTTTGTTAACCTGAAGATTTTTCCCTCTTTAACTATGCTCAGTCTCACCAAGTTGTCTCTCTGTCAGAATCTATGTTGGTCCTTGTATGTGTTTTTATTCTCATCACAAAGTGTCTCTTTTTATTCAATAAATTGTGTATAAGCACTTTATGTTTTGGATGTTGAGATTTATATGCTACATTGTTCGTATGATGTAATTATTTAATCCTCAATGAAGCTTGCGTGAAATGAATTGAATTTTCATACTTGTTATTTACTTCTTTATATATTTGGATGAAAATAGCATTTAGACTAGTTTTTCTATTATATGGGGATATAATTTTTGTTTTATTTTTAAAAAAGAGTAACATGATAGCTTTTAGGAAATGCTATCAAAGAAATTTTATAGCACTCACAAACTACTGTGCTAAAGTTTTTTTTTTTTTTTTGGTAAAGTCCAACAATGTAATAGCATTCCTAAAGCACTATAACATATTATTTTATGTCGTTTTTCCATTGCATGTAATAAATGCTATAAAAAATATAAATTTTTAATAACATGGCCTAACACAGCATGCCAACAAATGCTATTATATACTTTTGATAGCATTCATTGCATGCTATAAAAAATGATATTTGTTGTATATGTGTTCTTCTGGGTATTGCTTTGTTCTTATTGTATAGAAACCCATCTTCATCTCCTGCTTCTCAAAACATGGCTGTGAGGAAATCCCCAGATTTAATTGTTTTTGTTTCGTACTGCGCTATTATTCATATATGTGTTGCATATTTTTAATTTTAATTTTTTTTGAAAAACTTTTATGTTTATTTGATGTTAGATGATGTTGCCCATGACACATGAGTTTAGTAATAAATTTCAGTTTCTGTCTCATATTATTTGACAAATTATTGGTAGTATTTTGGTGCTCTTCTCTTCAGTTTTCTGCCTCTATTTATTTACAGTGCTTTGTTTGAATTATGATAATAAAGAGAAAACAAGAAATAGAGAAGTTTGGATCACAACTAATTTAGATTGAACTACTTTACAGAAGTAGTAAAAAAAACTGTGAAAGCAAGGGAAAAAGCAGTAAATAAAGCAAGACCCATATGAAAAGTATATTGTAAAAGAGAGCAGTTACCTGAGAGCTCGAGCTTCACCATCAGATTGAGAGTGAGAACTGAGAAGTTAAAGTCGTTCTCTACCATACTAAGCATAAGATGGAGAAGAGAAACCTTCAATCGTCGGAGAGAGCTATTGCACAACGTCAAAGTTGCCGGCAAACCAAATGCCAAGGAATCAAGTCGAGATCGAGAGAGGAATACGAGGGTTTCTCCAATTTTGATTTTCAAATGGGTTTCTCTGAATAGGGTTTCTCCTATTTGGATTTTCAAAGTTTACTTTTGACTCATGTACTTCATTGAAATTGTATTTTTAACTCACGGTTTCAATGTACAAAACACAATTACAATTTGCTACGGTGGCTGTTCATGTCATCATGAAATCGCATGTTGAAAGAGTAATTTCAATTTGGAAGTGTATTTTGAAAATGCAATTTCTAAAAGGAAGTTACTTTCCCAAATAATTTCAAAAGTGGATCAATTTTCTAAATAATTTTTTATTTTATAATATTTAAAAAAAAAACTCCATGTTCCTGGTGAGCTAAACTAGAAGAATATATTTTATTTTTTTTTGGTAAAGTAACAACTTAGTTAATTATATTTGCCACATAATTACATTTTGCTATTATTAAATTTAAATTTAAGTATAAATGCAAGATTTCTCTTCCCTCATTTACTTAAATTTATACCAAAATAAATTTTATTTTATTTTGTTTACTTAAAATCAAGTAAGGTCTTTTTTCCTTTTCTTTTTTTTTTTACCTTAAATTTCTCCAAACCATCTTCTAAATTTATAATCATATGACTTATCAATTTTGTACTTAAATTTATATTAAAGTTTAAATTTGGCTATTGAAATACTCTATTTCAAATGAAATTTGTATTCAAATATGAATAAATTAGAAGCAAGGCTAGTGATGACCTTTAGTGATGCACGTGATACTAAAAAGACAACAAGAGCAACAGTTTTTTTTTTTTTTTTTTTTTTTTTTTTTTTTTTTTTGGGTAAAGTGAATTCCATTTTCCTCATTCATCAAACAATACAAAAGAGTTGATGTAAAATTTGTTGGAAAATGGCTTTTATAAAATCTTATTTTTTGTTAATTTTGAACATTAATTAAGGTGGAATTCAAGTGTTATTTTTAACGTTACTAATTAGGTTCGTGTTTAATGCCGCGTAGTAAATAATATCGTGTATTTGGTTGCTCAAAAACATTTTCGGATGAATGAGAATTCAACACGCATTTTTAGGTTCGTGGATATTGCTTTAGGTGGGTTTCCTAGTGGACAAAAAAGGCGCCTGTGCATCAGAATTCTCTCTGCAGAGTGTAGAAAATTGATTTGAAAACGAAACCAAACATCATGCTCCAACACACAGGTAGAAAACTGATTACAGAGCACAACCAAGCAGAGCCTTAAGGATTTATATGGGTATATATATTCTAACTTGGGATACTTGAGATGGGCCCCAAGGGGTACCCAAGTTTGTAGAATGGTGAGGTTATGGGTAAAGTGGGCTAGACCCATTGGACCCAAAACAATAAACGCACGCCGCCATCTATCTGATTGGGTGGGCTAGGCACGAATGCGAGGTTAGGTTGGGCTTATCCGACCCAATACTTATCTTTTTGGGCGAAAAACATTTGTAATTTATTTATTCATTTTTAATTTTGGTTTCAAAACTTAAAATAACTTGGTCAAGTTTTTTTTTTCCCTTCACCCAAACAGATTTACCCACCCGAATAGGTTCAAAACAGGTTCATACCTATTGAATTCAAACCGGGCAGATCTATATCTGTCCAAACAAGTTTTTTCTTTTATTAAATCTGTCCGAACAGTTACCTATCTGTTGGCACCTGTTCGGAAAGCCACATGTCCTCCTATTTATACCTTGCCATTCCAGCATTTCTTGGCATCGAAATTTTTTCCAAAACTCTTCCCTTTCTTCTTCTGTTCGTCCTCCTGTGCTCCTACATTTGTTTAACATTTAGTTTCTAGGAAAAGAAAGAGAAAGAGTTACAACATAGTTTGGTTCACAATGTTTGATTTTGTAATGCTGCAAATCAAGTAGTAGTAGTTGTTGCATCCTAAGAAGTAGACGCCGTTAAAACTCGAAGTATTGAGCGAGGGCGACATCTACTTTAAGGAGATTGTGTTTAACACAAATCTTGATATTTAAAATTTCTGTAAGCATTTAATTCGTGAAGTTAATTTCTGAATTATTTAATTTATTTTGTTGTTTGTTTTATTTATGCATTTATTTACACATACACACATCCACTCTGGGAATAACAAAATTGACCTTAGTGATGACCTTAGTGATGCATATTTAAATAATTTTCAAATTTAACTCATCTTTCTCATTGAATCAACAAAAACTTTAGATGTAAAATTACAAAAGAGTGGTGAAAATAAATGTGTCCAATATACTGTATACAAATAATTCATGTCATAGGACAAATATAGTGATTGGCATGTGAAGCTCAACCGTCAACACCCAAGAACCTTTCCAAGCAGATAAAACAAGCTTGCTCTCTCCTGAAGTAAGAAAATTCAAAAATGATGTCCAACATCAGAAATTCTATAAAATAAAATAAAATAAAAAAATTGAACAAAGATCTCTCTCTATCTGCTTATAGGTTCTAGCTGAATTTCCATTCTTTCAGATATATCTAACTCTTTTTGTGAAAATGCCCGCATTGGGCTCAAGAGATCTGTATCATCCTCCTCAGTGTTCCCCAAAACCCAATTGCTTCCTCCAAAAATTCTATCCCTTTTTCTCTTTTTCTCGCGATACTCTAAATACACAACTGTCAGAGCACCGATGAAGAACCAAACTATCAAAATCCAGTTGAGTCCGTGAACATTTTGGTCACCATATTTATCTCTTAAATGCATCATTCCACTAATAAGAGCTGCAACGCCAACAACAATGGTAGATCTGCCGACAACAACATGAATATACTCCCAAATAAGCCTGTTTGAGGCAATCTCTTCCCCATTTGCAGGCCTTTTAGGTCTGAGATATGCATTCACGGGTTGTGCACAAGCCAAAGATATAGCGGCCATTCCAAACTTAAAATGAAGCGAATCAAAATGGAGACCCTGAAGCTCAGCTACAGCGAAAAGAAAGCCAAGCAAGACAATTGTTAATCCTGAATACTGCAAGTAAACATGAAGCTGGTACCATCCATCACCCTTAACATGTTTTAAGTACCGAGCTGATAATATTCCAGCTGGGAACAAAATTCCCCAAGCAAGAAACATCATGAACCCATGTACAGCTAATACAGGCCGTAAATCCTCCTCTGCCTCTGCAGAACCACGTCTAAGAAGCACCCGAACTGGCCTGGTACTTGTTGCAGAATGCATATTTGCCTCACTTAAATTGACTTGAGACCATCGAGCACCCATGGCCCAGACAACTTTCAGAGCGGTTGTAGGATCAATTATGTTTTTACATTCTGGCCTCTCACTATCACTGCATGATGGAGTCAACGGGCGAGTGAACTCCAAAGTGATTATTCCGTTTTCTGACTTACACCTTACGTGGGTCAGATTCTCATTTGTCATATGTATACTTGAGGCTTCCTTTCCATCAATCCAATAGGTCTTAATCTGCCCTTTTCCATTATCTTCAGCCCAACCCACATAGGCGAAGCTATTTACCATTCCACTACCAAAGCCTATTGCAAGGTAACCACTTTTTTTCTCACCACGAACTGCAAAAGCTATCGAATATTCTGATAATGTCCAAAATAAAGTAACTTGCTGATCATCCAAGAAGACGCTGCTGTTATACATATCTGCCAAACCACCATCAACAACTTGAACTTTCCAACCCATTTTCTGTGTAAACACTGACTGGTAGTAAACTTCATCTGGGGTGCTTCGGTCAGGTTCCCAAACTAATTCCATCGGACTGGCTTGGACTCCTTCAGCTTTTGGCCCTCCAGCATAAATAGTCTCAGACATATTTCTTAGTGTTGCATTCCCTCCAAGTGGGTCAGAAGTAACATACAGTGAAACATCATGACCAGCTTGTATCGAGAACTTCACTGGAACCCCCCTTTCTACCCTCAAGAGAGGGGCCTCTTTTTTGTTGATGTAAAAAACTTTTGTAGGATTCGGTGGATTTGGGTAATGTAAAGCAGGGCCTGTGGAAACAACAAGCGGTGCAGTTCCATCTGCAATGATGATATCTTGGTCCTCCTTGTCTTCTGCATCTAATGGTCCCAAGCAATCATTCACATGCTCTGAAACATTGAGCATCAAGTGCCCAAAAGTCCCACCATGATTTTGGGGAAGATAGTAAGGGTGAAGACTATCGGGCGGTTGAATCAAACCAATAGCCCAAATCACAGTCATGTTATCCATATGATTCACAGGCAAATCATACTTTTTATCTTCTGATTTCAATGGCCTTTGAAACCGGATAAATGACACCCCATCTTTCCTATGCCCGTAAACCAACCGCGTGTTGTTCAGCGAAGTATCATTGCCTGTTCCTTCATAAATTATGTCGGGACACACACCTTGAACACTACCATTCTTGTCTTTTGTACACTCAACATACTTGGTAATGAAAAAATCATCAGCAAATGGCATACCATCCTCCTTCAACCCTGTCACTGTTACATCGGCACCAAGCATAGGATTGGACGACGAACTAGGATCTGCCCATCCAAATGCCATATAATTCAGAATCCCTGTTGCAGCCTCCAACCCAATATCAATCACACCCTCCTCCACCTTCAATGTCCATCTAACCCTATAATTTGGCAACAATGCCTTACAATTCTCAAACATTGTTGGCTTCTCATGAACCCAAACACTCAAGTTGCCCCCACCAACCGATGGCGAAGGCGATGGGGCAGAATTCTCCGACCCATTACTCAAATTTCTCAACACAACATGCCCAAAGTCTGACGCGGTTGATATTTCCCAAACCGCGACGACTCTGATCTCATCCCAAGTCACATTCTTCATCAAATTCACAACAAAGCTATCATTTTGATAAGTTTTGTTCAGTTTCATATCAGATATCACAAACCCACTCGTTAAATTGTCGAAATCTTCACCAATAGCACCCCACCAACGCACATTGGACCCTTGAAGCATATCAAATTCACTGACCCTAAATGAGCAATCATCGATCAAATCAAACACCCCTCTCAACTGGTGTTGAAGCATTGCGAACTCTGACTCGAAATTGAGCAGAGAAGCATTGTTGGTTTTGGGACAACTCGGGGTTGGATCCGAATAGGAGAGGAGAACCCAATGGAAGAGAAAACCCAGAAAGAGTTGGGAAGCTCTTGCCATGGCAATGTGAAGATCCGAGTTAACGGATCTGAGGTGGACTTGGACCCGGAAATGGTGGTGATTTTTTGTAGTTTTTGTGATGTTTGAAGGGTTTGTAGAGAGAGAAAGTACCTGAGGTCGCCGGAGGGAGCTCTGTGATCGCCGGCGGAGAGGGGTGTGTGAGGAGAGAGAGAGAGAGTGGGGTGAGTCGGAAAAGCTGAGTTCGGAACTCGTAGTTGGTCGTTGAGCACAGGGTGTTTTGTAGTTTCATGGTTTTTGAGTGGGCCAGAGAAGGGATTTGGGGAGACTTGTACTAGGATATGCATATCTGGGGCAAGTTTGTTTGTCTATTCATATTTTGATGTCAACTTTTTTTTTTTGAAGATACCCCTATGATTGATGTTTAATTTTTTTAATAATTACACTTCCTATGCATTACAAATTATACTATTTTTATACTAAAGTTGAATGTTAATATATACAAATAAAAAAGTTATACAAAATAATAACATCTTCAACTTTATTGTGTCAAATAGAATAATTGGTTTAGTCCAAAATTCGAGCTCTGACCCTTTCATTATAATTTAATTTATTAACTCCTAACACCTTATCGTATAACTAACTCCAAAAAAAAAAAAAAAAAAAATTTGGGAAAAAAAAAGGCAAGTTCCCAAAACACAAAAAGTTTAGGGAAGGTCATTTCTCTGGACCAATTTTCTCTGTGACGTGAATTTTCTTTAGATTAACTTAAAGGATCTTAGACATTATTAAAATATTGAATGTCCTTTACGCTATAAAATCTTATTACTAGGGACCTTAAAAAAAATCCCCAAAACTTAATAGTTTTTTATACTAATTTCCTTGTATAGCCTATCAGTTTTGAACTATATACATATGTAATCTATTTAATTATATAAAGCTAGCAATTCACTTTGGTGTAAATAACAAATTGAAGCAATGTCACTCTTTTTTCTCCCAAAAAAAATCTCCTCATTTTTTGTTGATCAAAATGAGTAAACTTATAATATTAAAGCCTCCCGTTAATTTAATTGAAGACTAGGTTCTCAAAATAATTCCAACCGTCAATGTCAAATTTTTGCCCCAACATCTACAAGAAATAGAGTACATAAAGTAAGACTTTGATTCTCTTCATTTTATGTATTTGATGAAAAAATTTCATTACAAATCTAATGGTTATAAAATAAGAATGTAAATTTATAATTAATTTAAATTACAAAAGATAATTACACTCACTATTAGATGATGTAATGAAATCTTTCTATTACAAATATGAAATGAAGAAGATCACAATTCCAAACCCTAACTCTAAGCTGGTATTATGCATTGCGTATCAAATATGTGACCAACCCTAGGCTAGTATTAGGCATTGTGTATCAAATATGTGACCAACTACCTGCAAGACCGGGTTTGCTATAAGCAAAACAAACCAAACAGTTCAAACTTGACTTATATTTGGCTCATTAAAAAAATCAGCTCGTTAGGCAAATAAAACCAAGCTTGAATACATTTTAAAAATCAATAAAGCTTTCACAGGCTCTCTCTTTGCAACAATAGCCCAATGGATGTATCAAGATTGCAGTCCATCGGAGTCCAGTACTGGAATGCAATTCAACAAGTCCCCTCCAAACAAACAGCAACCTATCATCTGCAAAAGAAATACCTACCCTCAATCCCTCATTTTCTTGCTGCTAGACATAAACAGTACATCAAACTTTTTGATAGGAAAATTTCAAGTGGAATAGAAGATAGTAAACTTCAGTCGATAATATATATATATATATTCCTATACAGGTAACTTGAAGCCAGCTTCTGTTTGAACATGCCATTTGAGGCACGGGTTCCATTCAGATATAACAAGTTGGGAGTCTGAAAATTGAACGGTTATCGAAGCTAGAACCTAGGCAAAAAGAAATGATAATAAGAAGTCTGTCTTACCCTTAAGATTAAGGCCGTGAATTCTACTCCTGCTCCTGCTCTTGCAAGGTATAGTACTGAGGAGCGAGCTCAGCTAACCACAAGTAATCAATTCTAGTAACATTGCGCACGTAATTATGAGTAGTTCGGACAAACTCATCAAAAATTATGCAGTCTGGCTTTGTCCGGAAAAATACAGAAGAAGGATGGATCTGCACCACCTGACCACTTGACAAAACCCTGCCATTTGTGAAGTAACTGTGAGAGGTCATACAAAAGGAGATATGGAAGAGGGTTTCCAGATTAATAACAAAGATGAGATACAATAATAAGAAATTTGCTAGTTGTTAGGTTTTATTTCTTGGCAATCCCGTTTGACAAAACTCCTTTGAGTTGTAATTTTATTCGCATTTTTATTTCAGTGAGGCTATGAGTTGTTAGATGCGAATCCAACCCGAATCAAGCATTTCAGAGAAGTTTGTGATGATAAAGCTTTCAAGATTGCCACTTCGCTGATTATGACGGGGATCGAGCTCGAGCGGGGATTGGAAGCTCTCAGCATCTCTGCAGTCGCCTGTAAAAATACTGGA